GAGTGCTGAGATTATGGGCATAATCTATTTTCAATTATTACTACAGATTAGTAATAGACATTATAACTATTAAATTGCTCTCTGAAGTGAATGCTAGCTGAGACATCATGCACTAGCTACAAGACTTAAGCCAAGTCTCCTTCTTTCTGTGGGCTGTATCTATAAAACGGGCTGCCCAGCCAGATGCTCCCAGGGCTGGTGCATGTAAAACCTGGTTTTGTGGTGGAGGTCACTCAGAACTTGTGCCAGGAGGCAGAGTTTTAAAGCTTGAGGGCCCTCAGCTTGCCCACCAAACAGGTCTGCTTATAAAATTTCCCAGCATAAGGTAGTTTACCATAACTGCTTCTGACCCCATCTCCCACTGTAGCTTCATCTAAGGTCAGGACTTGTTCTGGGTGTTTTAAGTTCTTTTTCTTAAAGAGAATTTCCTCGGATGATGTCAGCTTCAGTTCCCAAAACCTGGGTCTGCCTTTTCCTACACACAGTCACAACCACTGTGGTATTAAATTTTAGAGATCTGTCTCTGAACAGTGTAAAGAGCGTCAGGTAATTCAGTGGGAATTAATTAACAAGACTTTAGGTAAGGAAATGCCAGCACTTATTTCAGGACCCACCACCAATTCTTCAGCGCCTCTCTGAACCCCTAACACTGCAAGTTCATACTTGTTTAATAACTGGAATCCTCATAGAAACCAAAATCATAGCTGAGGGGAATGGTTAGCACACGCCTGTGATCCCAGTACTCAGGAGGCTGAGATAGGAGGATTGCAGAGAATTCAACACCAGCCTGCACTTCATAGTGAGTCCAAGATAAGCCTGAACTACATAGTGAGACCCTGTCTCAAAATCAAAGAAACAGAGATCATATCTTTTCTATTTCCTAATGTGTCCCCAACAACTACTACAATGCCTGCTACATATTAAGTACCCTGTGGTCAATAAATATGGCCAAATTAAGGAAGTGTCTAATTTATGAAGACATAGTTACCAGCTGTGATAGAAATATATATACAGTAAGTGTTTAAATTTTAAATATATATTACACTAAAAGATACATCACCATTAATCATCCTCAAAATACTCCTCTTTGTTTTGAACACACTTATCGCATCATCTTGACACTTTCTGGAGCGTTCTGGAAATCCTCTTTCCTAAGTGTCCTTAGTTGCACTGTCATGGCTGCCTTGATGTCCTGAATTAATTTAAAGTATTTGCATTTCATAGTCACTTTGACTTTGGAGAACAGCCAGAAGTTACATGGTGCCAGATCTGGTAAATAAAGTAGATAAGGACACAGTGTAATGTTTTAATTTGACAGAAATTTCTGTAAACATTTTTTAATTAATTCAGGACATTGAGACAGCCATGAAAACACACTTATAAAAGAGGACTTCCAGAAGTGCTTCAGAAAGTGGCAGAAATGTTGGGATAAATGTGTCATGGTAAGGGACTATATTTTTAGAAGGGTTAATGACAGTGCATCTTTTACTGTAATTTTTTTAATTTAAAAATTGGCTCTTTTTTAATGCACCTTGTAAGTATTCTCCCTTTCCATGAAGAATTTGAGACCTACTGCCTATTCTGAGCCACAGAACTGAGTTACAAGCTCACTTAAAAGACCATAAAAATTGTCTTACCAGTTGATTTAAATGCACAGACTGTGAGGTGCTCACTGGCATAGTCTGCCCGGCCAGCAGTGGAAATGAGACCTGAAGTTCATTTAGGGAGAGCTGACTGGTGCTGAAAGGCTTCGCCTTTCTGTTCTTCCACTGATCCCTCTGCAGCAATGCATCATATGTTCTACTCACAAGAGACTCACTGAGTCAGAATGCAGACATTGAAGGCCCACAAGGACTCTTTTCTTCCCTTAACTGGGGACAGATAGGTTCCCCATTGTCCCACCTTGGCATATGCCCTAAGTACCTCCATTCCAAGGTCAAGCTTTTCCCATTTCTCTGGACTGTAATTGTAGAGGCCAGAGTACAAGTTTTGCAAGTTCTTCAAGTGTTTGCCCTGCTTCACCACATCGCGCGGATGAGGAGATCGCTTACCTTCCTGTCCGCACCCTCTGGTTCCAGTAGCTACCATCTTTGAGGGGTGGCAGCAGCGAGGGGCAGCTGCAGGGAGGCCTGTACATGGGAGGAGAAGACAACAGAGACAGGGAAGGAGGGAGACAACCAAAGGATGAAAGAACAACAGAAAAGGGAATAGGAGAAAGTGACAGGGGACTGGTAAACTAATTAGATTATCTCATAAAACTGAGATTTCCAAAAGGAAACAGAAAAGGTGAAAGGTACAAGAAACTTGGAGTGAAGAGAAATCTGTGCTTGTAGTATGGCCAGCAACCACACAAAATAGGCATTTGGCTAAAGAAGAATCAGCATTTTCTTGCTCCTTGGGTGGCTGTGTGTGATTGCTTTTTCATTTAAATCCACCACAATCAGTGGTGGTGAGTCCACTGTCTTCGTCCTTGGCAGGAAAGGGAGAGAAGCAGTGTCGGATATGGAGAGGAGCTGCCCACACGGAAGCCTTTTCCACAGGCTTCCACTTGTGAGCTCCTCACACTCGGTGGGTGCCCCGCACCTCCAATTCCCACCTGTACTCTGGATAATGAGGAAAATTATTGGCCCATCCCGGTGCTATCATTTTTTTCCCACTCCTGCCTTGAGCTTTCATTAGTTTTCATTTCTCATTAAGAGAACAATTGAAGAGTGAGAATTAAACACCTCCTGATTTATTATCCTGCTAAAAATGGGAAGTTGGGAAGCAGGGGGTGGATCTGAATCGAAGGCCCCGTGGATGACTGAGCCACCGTAGGGACCTGGGAGCGTGCAGGGCTGCTGTTCTGTTCCACTGGAGGACAGTGGGAGCAATGGAGCAGCCAAAACACTTGGGGAGCAGTGCTGTACAATCAGGAACCTTCCCAAGCAAAGACAATAGCCCTCAGTCACATGCTTCCCCTCTTTTCAAGATTTGCACTACGTGTTCAGTGTTATCCCCAGCATCAGTTATGGATCTACCTGCCAGAGATGCTGCTCTTGACGTACAGAGGCTGGGCCCAGCTTATCTGTTGCTCCTCTACCATGCGACAAGCGTGTGCCCAGTGCTCATGTAAGAATAGTGTGGGAGAAGGGATTAATGTGCGCATGCAGAGACAGACTGGTCACCTTTGATTTGTATGGCTGCATGCCTTTTTAATAATGCCATGGTTCACTACAAAAAGAAGATGAAGACAGTATGCAAGTTCCTCAAGAAAAAGTAAATAAAACTCCCATATGAAGGAGCACTTTCAAATAGGTGTACACCCCAAAGATTTGAAAGCAGAAACTTGAACTGATACATGCATGATGTTCATAGCAGCATTACTTCCATTAACCAAAATGTGGAAACAGTCCAAACATCCATTGATGGGTGAACAGAATATGGTATATCTCTACAAAGGGATATTATGCAGCCTGAAAAAGGAAAGAAGTTCTGATATGTGTTACAACATGGATGAATCTTGGGAATTAATATCTAATATGTTTATCAGAATCTATCAGCCAGAAGAAGGACTACAGAGTATCCATTTGGGATGATGGGGAAGTTCCAGAGATGGATGGTGGTGAAGGATATACAGCAATATGAATGTGCTTGCTGTACTAACATTCCTGACTCACTGGAGAGAACATCAATGCTGCCCATACAACTTATAACTAATTCTGTGTAACAAAGAGGCCATCACCAATGGTCTAGCAGTTTCAAGGGAACAAGGGCCAGTGCACCCATCCAGGCCAGGACTGCCCTCCAAGACACACAACTGCCCCACACATTTCTGAGACTGGAGGTCATTGGAGGACCTTCTCTTGAAAAAGGGCAACTGGACATTGCTTCTGCAAATCTCATCCAGTGAGTTGCACCACCCTGCAGAGACTTTTTCCTGGCAAAGCACCCTCCAGAGACAAAAAGGTGCTACCTGCTTGGCTTCACCCCCCCTAAATAAGGATCATGGTCACAGCCAGAACTCAGCAATTCCGATATAAGGGCCTGGTGTGAATTGCAATTGTGTGGCTTTATGCAGGTCCCTTAAGTGAGCCTTGCTTTTCTTATCTATAGAATTAGAATACTACAGTCCCTACCTGACAGCAGTATTAGAGCTTAAAGAGCTAATAGGTGTTTAATAGTATGTGGAATAAAATAAGTGTTCAATGAATGTTATATATATGAGATATATATTACCGCTGTAGAGCTGTAGGAAGCGAGCTGTTCATGGCAGAGTAGACAAGAAGCAGAGACAGAAGGGAGGAGCAGGGGAGGAAGATAAATGCCCCATAACCCACCTCTTTTGACCAGGTCCCACAGCCCAAGAGCACATTTAGCTATGAACTCATCCATGGACTAATCCACCATGAATCTAGCACCCCATGACCTACTCATCCCTCAAAGCCCCACCTTGGAGCACATGAGGCTTTGAGGGCACATCCAGATCTAAACCATAACAAGGAGCATCAGGGATTGGGGGAGGGTGGTTAATCATCCCATTACAGGAGTAGAAACCCTCACACCAGCCAGCCACCTGAAGGAGCCCAGGAGTGAACAGGAATCCAGAGAGGAGATGAAAGAGGACATGTGGAGTTCTCAGATAATCTGTTCTACTGTTCCTCTGATCCCTCAACTCATTCCTTAATATGTTGGGCAATTTATCTCTTTGGTGCTAGAGATACAACTTTTTCTCACATTGACTAAAATGTTTACTCGTTCACACCTAGGAAATGTCTTGAGACCCATGAATCCAAAGGGTTTTTTGTTGGTGGTGTAATGCCACATCCACAGAAAACCCCTTAAGGAGAGTTCCAGGATAAAACACTCTAGATATTCACTAGAAACAAACTATTTCCATCAACATGATGGTCTGGATGTCTCAGATCATGCAAAAATGCTTCTCCCATGAATTTATACCCTCATACTGCCAGTGTCAAGTTGAACTTGCTAACTTAATTTTTTTAATCTTAAATATTCAGGTGCATCTTCCCAAAACCTGAAGAAGTTTATAGAAAGGTATGTGGGCAATGGATCTAAAGAACTGTTTTTAAATTTGGTTTCTTACTTTGAAAAGGGATAAAATAGCCAATTTGTCTTACTTTTCTTGGTGCTAAGACAAAATACCTGACACCCAGCATTAAAGAAGGAAAGGTTTATTTCAACTCACAGTTTGTACAAGTTTCAGCTCGTAGCTAGCTGGCTCCAAGGCAGGGTGGTGTGGCAGAGGAGAAGCAGTTCATGATGGGCAGAAAGCAGCAAAACAGTGAAATAGAAATTGACAAGCAGTGACACTCCTTTCTGTCCTTGATGTCTTACCTAGGCTATCCATCCTAAGGGTGGTACCACTGACAGCCAGGGAGGGGCACCCTTAATCCTCACATTATACCATGAATCAATGCCAGCATCACATCCTTGATCTTAGCATCACACACCCTAAATCCAGCCACTTCCAAAAAGCCCCACCTATGACCACATGTGGCTTTGGGGAACATCTAGATATAAGCCATAACACTGTTGTTCTCTGTAATCATTTCTACTAAGCATTGATAGTTTGTTCATCACTGTGCATACACTGAGGTGTCACTGCCTGGACCAGTAAGCTTAGGAAGTGATTAATTTTTGTGGATGCCCTTGAAGAAGTATAAAAATATATATCGGTTGAATAAAGCTTAGATCTGACAGAAGTAACTGAAAAAAAAAGGTCATGTCATATTCCATCTTAATGAATAAGGAAACATTCTGTATGTATTTTGGATTTAAAATTCACAAATGGATGCACCTTGAGACCATATGCTTAAATACTACATGGTTCCTCTTACATGAGATACCAAAACATAAATAAAGACAAAAATAAAAGATAGATAATAGGAAGTAGGGAGGTAGATTTTGTGCAAATGAGAAAGGGATCAAGAGATGGTGGGGAAAGAGAGGGAGGGGAGGGAAAGGGGATGAAAAAAGAATTAAGCTGTGTTATATACATGCACCATCCCCCCATAAGGAATATAATCATCACATAATACAAGCATGTACTAATAAAAAATAAAAACTGAAAAAAGTCAGAAGTGAGGCTGACTTCAGCAGTGCTCTGAGTGAAAGCCCTGAGGAAGCCCTTCTTTTTTGGAAGTTGACTTCAGGTCCACAGCTGTCCAGATGTCCTGTGAATCTGGACAGAACTAACCAAGGTAACTCACTAGTGCTTGTTATTGATAACAAATGCTGGGAAAGATGCTTATAAGATGACAGTGTGCCTATTCACCTGGGATTTCAATTCACTCTTTTCAGTTTTACACATTTATGTGGCATTTGCCCAATGGGAAAGTGAGTTAGAGATTTCAGGGAAAAAGAAGAGAATAGGACCAGTAATTAGCTATACTGGAATGCAAGCAAAATAGAGAAATGTTTTCTAGGAGGATGGTCATACAAAGAACTTTTCCCAGGCCTAGGCTATGTTTTTGGTTATAAAACTAGTTTTCCAAATGCCTGACATTCAGATTCTATCTGTGGCTTCTCAGCCTGTCCAGGAACCAGCTGCTGGACCACCCAGCCGTCGTCATATACGCCATGATTGGAAATGATGTCTGCAGCAGGTGAGTCATTGAGAAAGAGTTTCTAAATTCTTTAGCTCTGAGTTCTCCCCTCTTCTCCACCTGACTCAACCCCAACCCCTCTCCATTCTCGTGGCCTGCTGTTGAGTGGATCTCTATCTTAAGGAAGCCCTAGATCTGTGAAATGAACAAAAACGACCTGTGACACTAAAACTCCTGTATCCAGCCCATTTACTCCCAGTTCTGACATCATCACCAGTAAATATGTCAGGATCAACTGTCAGTTCAATCTCAAGAAATATCCTCTTCTAACCAAGAGCCAAGACTAAGAATGCAGGACATAAGACACAGCCAATCCTGCTTATGCCTGCAGCCCATGGTGAGAAAATAGTATTGCTAAACTGCTGATATCGACAGAGATTTCAAAATATTGACTGCCTTAGTTACCCCTGAACACTCAGGGAGGTTCATCAAAATCTGCACATACCCCTAAGAATACACCACATGTGTGAATGCCATCTGGCTTGTGATTATATCTAGAGAAAAAATTAATAAATAAAAGGTGGGACAGGATCTAGAGCAACACCACAGAGGCCACCCACCTACTTCTCTAGAAAGCAAAAAGGCTAGGCCAAGAGGAATTGCATGACTTGCTGAATAACAGATTGATTAGTGGCAGGTCTGGAGCCAACCCACGGGGCTGGGAGTGGGCCACCTGCCCACCACCTGCCTACTGCCCACCGTCTCTTGCACTACCTCATTCACCAGCTTTCCAAGTGCTCAGGCCCACCGCATGCAAGTGTCTGCTCATTCAGATGCTGTCATGCAATTCCCCTGATGAGGGAGGTGTAGACATGATCAGTGAAGTGAGGATACCACTTTATGATCCAGGGTCAATGGGGCAGACCTCTCCTCAGCCTCCCAGACTGATTCACTCTTCTCGGAAAGACCCCAAGTCAGTGGAGGTCCCCCCCGCCCGAAGGGATGAGTCACCTGGGACTTTCCCTTAAAGAGCAACCCCCATCCCAAGGCCTTGTGGGAGCCAGGAGCCGTGCCACTCTATCACATTGTCCCTACAGTGCACCTAGGAGGCAAGGCTGAACGTCCACATTTTACAGACAAGGAAACAATGGTTCTCAAGGTTAGAGACCTGCTTATAGAACTGTTGAGTGAGTAGCTGAGCTGGGAGCCAGATGAATTCCTCCAACTACTGTATGCTGTTTGTGATGCATGCCAGCCTTCTCGGCTTTCTTTACCCTGGGACAGGCTGGGGTTTGATGGCCAAGAGGCCACAGTCCCTGACCTCAGGAGCTCACAGAAAGAGAACACTGAGGCCCCAAAATAAGAGACAAAGAGACCAAACCAGTGTCATGCCAGCCCATGTCCCAAAGCTCCCAAGTAAGATTCTCTGTGAGGACAGAGAGCAAATGCACTGAGTGAAGACCACCTGCAGACAGAGGCCGTGACTCTGACAGCCCTGTCCTTTCCCGGTGCAGCTGCTCACGGGAAAGCCCCTCCAGCCCTGTCCTGTTCCCCTTTGCCAAAGAGCAGAAGAGCAGGCAGCCTTCAGCCAGTGACCCGTACCAGGCCCTGCCCTGCGGGGATCTGGGCAGAGAAGTGGCAAGCATGTGGGGGAAAGAACAGAGCTGGCAGTGTGAGATGTCCCTGCAGTGCCCACTTTGTGATGCCCTGTGGAAGGGTTAGAAAAATAAAGACAGATGGCAATGCTACCTCCCCATCTGCCAGCACCAAGGTAGACAAGACATCCCAAAATGAGCAAAGGGATTTTTGTATGAAGCCCACACCAGCCCAGAGTTGCACAAGTCTGGCCTGGAATGAATGTTAAGATATTTGCTTCAATTTTTTCTTTTCTTTCATGATGCTGTTAGCTCTTACTGACCTAATGCTGCTATGTACTTTTTTCTCAGTTCTTGAACTCATGTACTTGCCCAATAAATACTGTTTAAATGAATGAAGGTCACAATTTGAAGACAGCTTTTAGTGTCAGGAACCTAAGGAGGAAGGAAATATACCTTTCTCATCATAACACTGTTCAACTTGGTCTGCACTAACTCAGCTTCCTTGGGCTTTTCCTATCACTTCCCTCCATAAAACCTATTTAATGAGAGCAATACAAAGGGAGAAGAAATCCCAGAAAAAGAAAACGTGTGTGAGCTGCAGCAGGAGAACCTTAAGGTGGTGGAGATAGTGGCGGGGAACTCTGTGGGTGTCCTTAAAGCATCCGATCATAAGGGCAAATGACAGCCCTTCCCCCATACCCTGCCCTGACACCCCTGAAAAGAACACTGTGATTGCCAGAAGTGTGACAGATTTACACAAGCCTCTAACACCAGCCAGTACAATTGACATGGTCCATTTTTCACAGTGGACATAGAAATTATAAATTGTATATTTTCACCCTGTGGGGAGAGGCAGAACTAGCCACACAGGTTGTCCTTGTCCTCCTGATCCCCAAGCATCATTTTCCTACAATGTCGATGTTTTAGGGTCTGCCCAGGGCAGCTGGCAAGCACCACTGGAGAGCAAGCAAGCAACGGACTGTCAGGAATGCTGGTGACTCTTGCTGTCCAGAAACCAGCAGACGAGGGAACAGACAGAACTCCTGCTTTTTAAGGGATTCTGTCTCCTGGACCCCATAGAAACATGGGTGGCAAAGCGGGTAATGAGGAATTTCTACCCAGCAAGCATGCTCTGGATCACTCCTGCTTGTCAGGGACTTCCCATGTTTCTTTATGCCTAGGGGCATGGGAGCAAAGTGAGTCTCTGCCAATCCCCAGTCTGTGTCATGATGCTTCTTGCAATGACACCAATCCAGGTACTTGGGACACCGTGTTCAGACCACCCTGCCATCTCTGCTTTGCTCAGCACTGCAATGTTGGGAGACCCCAGACCACACGCCAGTAAGGTCAGCCCGTACACTCAGATGGTAGGTGAGAGATCAAGAGCATCTACCTTCCAGGGAGGAATGGAAACACTAGGGGTACAGGGTGCATCTCTGAGATAGGAGCCCTGTGATGTCATTGTAACTGGCTGGCATGAAAGAAAGAGCTCAGTGCTCTTCCTGGATGATTCAAAAGCATGAGTTCTGGTCATATGTGAGGTCTGCACTCTTGGTCACACGAGGTCCCTGGGCATCAGTTCTGGTTCCATGAAGCTGGTGTCTGCAGGAGCTGTCTGCCTTCTTCCCCAGAGAGGCATCTCTCTCTCTCTCTTTCTTTGGCATCAGCCAGGTGACATTTAGCTGGCATTCCTACAACATAATGAAATGGTCACAGCCAGCCCTGCACCCAAGTAAAGAGGCTTATTTTGCATGATCAGGCACAATTCATTAGGACAAGGACAGGCTTCTGAGCCACCCTAAGGGGCAAGGTTCTTCATCTGTTCCCAGCACGGCCATGTGTTCCTGACATGCAAGAGTGTGTCAGTAAGCACCGACCTGTCCCTCATTACCACCATAGCCATAGCCTTTGTGTCCCTAGGTTAGTGTTCATGCTTCTTCTCTGTAAGCTAGGTGCTCCTGGCCCCTCCCCTATCATCTGAGAGTATGGGACACTGGCAGAGTGCCTAGGTATGGGAGTGGGTGGGTGTATTAGTCACTTTCTTGCCACTAGGGGAAAATATCCAACACTTGCAACTTAAAAGAGGAGAAGTTATTTTGGCTTATACTTCAGAGGGCTTAGTCCATGGTCAGCTGGCTTCAAGGCAGAAAGAGCACAATGATGATGAAAAGGCCTGGCAGAGGAAAGATGCTCACTGTATCATGACCAGGAAGCAGATAGAGAAAGGTGGAGCAGGGGACAAGAATGCACCCTTCCAGGTCACACCCTCAATGACCCACTTCCAAGCAGGCCTCAACTCCTCACACAGCACATGCAGCTAGGGATTCATCAGTGGATGAATCCACAGATGAATATGGCACTCCATGATTCGATCACCTTCCAAAGCCCCATCTCTGAATGCTTGAGAATTTGAGGGACAGTTTAAGTCCTAACAATGGACAAACCTAGTATGGTAGGGCAGCCCAGACATGGTGTCTCCAAACACCTGGGTTAAAAAACATCTGGCATCTCCAGCTCAGCCCATTTAGCTTTGCCAGACATCAGAGAGACCTAGGAGATGTTTCCCAAACCACAGAGGCTCTGTACTTAATCCCCTAAAATATCACCAGAGGAGAAATGGTACATAGATCAAATGTCTTTCAGAATTTTTCAGGAAAAGGTCAAAAAACACCCTCTATGGCAGTCAGAAGGGTGATCACCACCTATCCCATAGACCTTTCTGTTCCTCTGCACTAGGAGTTGGTTGATTTTGCTCTGCAGGAATATTTAACTGACAACTTATGCACGTGGTAAATCATGTAGCTGTGCAAGATGGAACCAAGATATCCAGAGAACATTCCACGAGCAACACTGGGGCATCCACTTCAGTTTTACTTAGCAATTAACCATTTGGAGCATGTTTGTTTAGTCTGTGGGTTGCCCTTTCACAAGTAGTATAAATTCGCTCAGGTTCTTTGCTTATTATCGGTGTTGTATCTTTAATAAAAAATAATCATTAAATAGGGAGCTTGGGAAATTTTCCTCCATCTTAACTCATCTTACCTTTATGTGCTTGGAGAGCTCCATAACTGCTTTGGGCAAAAGTGTTTTGTGTCAGCAGGAAAAAAAAACAACAGAGAGGGTAGCAAGGCCACACAGTAAATGTAAAACCTGGTTACTCAGAGGCCATGGTGGTGCATGCCTGTAATCCCAGCACCCTAGGATGCTGAGGCAGGGCCATTGCAAGTTTAGCGACTCAGTGAGATTCTGTCTCAAAATTTCATAAATAAATAAACAAGCAAACAAATAAATAGTTGGTGATGTCACTCAACGTGTAGGGTTCAATCCCCAGAGGTATGAAAAAAAGAAAATGAATTAATCACCTTTAGCCAGGTTTGATGGTGCAACCTATAACGACAGTTGCTGAGGAAGCTGAGGCAGCAGGATCTCAAGTTCAGGATCAGCCTGGGCAATTTAGCAAGACTATATCAAAATTTAAAAAGTAAAACGACAACAGCAAAAAAAAATTTAAAAAGTAGTTCAGTGCTTCCTAGGTTCAATCACCAGTACTGAAGTTAAGTCGCCTTCAGACTTTGATACAATTTGAAAAAGAGAATGACCATGGTCAGTTCTGAGTTCCCTTAAAGTTGAGAATAGTGTAAAGCAAGAGAGAGAATAAAAATTGAGACCATTGAATGTCCCAGGGGCCTCATCCTGTCCCCTTGTCTTGTATCATTTCTGCCCTGGTCCAGTCACAGAGTAGGAAACTCATCACTGTCTGGTGTAGGATCTATATTGCATTTCCTGGGGCTGCTATGGCCAAGTACCACTCACTGGAGGCTTGAGAGAACAGAAATACATTCTTTCATCGTTCTGGAGGCTAAAGTCCAAAGTTAGTGTCAGCAAGGTCAGGCTTGCTGTGAAACTTCATGGAAAATGCTTCCCATCTGTTCCTATGAGCACCAGCATTCTCAGCAACTGCAGGTGCATAGCTGGGTCTCTCTGTCTTGGTTACTTTTCTCTTGTTGCTGAGACAAAATACCTGACACCAAAAATTAAGGAAGGAAAGGTTTATTGGGTTTATTTAGGTTTCAGTCCATACTTGGCTGGTTGCAAGGCAGAGTGGCACAGGGCACAGGGCACAGAGCTACAGTTCGTGGCAGCGGAGGAAGATAGCAAAAGTAGCAAGAGACAAAAATGGAGGAGCAGTGGGAAAAGCAAGCCTCTTTCCCTTACATATGCAAACTGTCTGTCCCAGGGCAGTCATAGCACTCACACCCAATCACTCAAAACTCTAAAAGCCCACCCCATGACTGCATGAGGGTTTGGGGGCACATACAGACACAAACCATAACAGTCTCTCGAGTCTCCCTGTGTGTGTCAGTGTCCTCTCTTCTTCTGACAAGGACCCAGTCCTCCTAACCCAGTATCACCTCATCTCAACTAATTATATCTGCAAAGGCCCTGTTTTAAAATAATGTTACAAACCAAGCATAGTAGTGCACGCCTATAATCCCAGCACTTGGGAGGCTGAGGCAGGAGGATCGCTGTGAGAAAACCATCTTGGACCACATAGTGAGTTCTAAACCAGCCTGAACTGCATAGTGAGACTAAGTCTCAAAAAACCAACAATAACAACAATGACAACAATAATAATAATAAATACAGTGTAAGGGAGATAAGTCAACCCACTTTGGAATCACTAGGTAAATTTGGAATTTTAAGGATTCAGAATAGAAAATAGCTCTCAGACATAATTCTATTTAGGTTGACGACAGGCAGTTTAGAGGCTGAAGAACAAATGGAAGCCTCTGAAAATTCTGTAATTATTCCTTAGGGTAATGCAGGTTAGCATCTTAATCCATATTTGGTGTGTTCTGAAAATGTGCTCAGGGTTCAGCTGTGAAAAAAATGAGCAATAGTAGTCATACATTAATGCCAAACATTTCTAGCACCCCAACTTACTCCTTGCATTTTAAACAGGCTAATAAAGGCAGATAGACAGACAGACAGATAGATGTAAATAGATAAAAATGTAACATAACTTCCAATGGTGTATTCAAAGAATTTTGTGTATTCCTTACTTTTGTTCTTTTCTACACCTACTGAAAAGTTAGTCAGTCACCTTAAATTCAAAAAACTGGTTGATGTACCGATTATCCACTGTCAGCTCACCCATGATCTCTCTTTGACTTAAATGCTTGATTTTATAACTAACATTAGCACTTTCTATTTTTGTTGAACTTCCATGAAATAAGCAAAGCATATAATCTAAAGTTAAAATATCCTTTATGGAGCGCAATCAGTACTATATAAGAGAAAGACAACGATACAGAACAGAATTGTTGATAAATAATATTGCTGTGGCATAGCACAGTACAGGGATCTATTAGGACATGCACGGAAGTTCAAACTGAGTGTACAGAGCGCGGGACCATAAGTGGGATGTAGTGTAGACACAGAACATAACTTCATTTCTCCATAAGCTGCTGTTTCCTTAACTGTGATATATGTGCCAAGTTTTAAAGACCAAGTTTCAGAGCTCAAAGCTACAAATAAATCATAAGCAAAACCAGAGCCCTTTGGTTCCTTTATGTGTAAGTCAAGATAAGTGATCTTGTCCTGCAGAGACAACAGCCCCCTAAATCTTAGCAGCATAAAGCATCAAGCACTTCCTTCCCATCCAAACAACACGTCTGTCAGGGATCACGGTGGGACTAGGTCCAGCACTTAGACAAGTGGAACAGCTGTCTGGAAGATTGCCCATAGAGAAAGAAAGAGAGAGAAGAAAAAGAACGTTCTAGGTGCTCTCACACCATCAGGCCTGACCCACCTTGGTTCTGTTCATGATCTATGGGCCAAAACTGTCACATGGTCCATCCAACCACAAGGAATTGGGAAGTATAATGTTATCATGGACCAGAAAGGCAGAAAACTAGGAAGATTTTGTAAAATAGTACCTATAACCAACCACAGTGTGTGTGTGGATGTGAGTGTGCAAGTGTGTGTGTGTGTGTGTGTGTGTGTGTGTACATGTGCTCATGTGTGCTATATCTTGTATCTGCATGCATCCTCTATCCTTAGAATCAACTAAGACACATTCTGTTCCTTCTCCCACAGTAAGGCCAACCCCATCCAGGAAATGACCACTCCGGAGCAGCTCTACTCTAGCGTCATGGAGACTCTAAAGCACCTCAATTCCCACCTGCCCAAGGGCAGCCATGTGGTTTTATATGGCTTGCCGAATGGAACCTTTCTCTGGGATAATTTACACGACAGATATCATCCTCTCGGTATCCATTTTCAGATACTTTAGCAATGTCCATAATTCGATATACACAGAATCCTTCTAGAATATGCCCAAGGTGGGTCACAGAATGAGAGTCAGAAGCACAGAAGGAAGAGTGCCCATGGGCAGTACTGAGGGCATCCCCCAAACACACATGGGCAGAGCTCAGTCCAGAGACAGAAAGGGCACCGTTGCTCATGAAGAATTAGGACAAATGGGAAGGTTGGAGGTTAAAACAGGAAACTGCATCATAGATACACTGTGCTGAAGACATAAAACCTAAGATCGAAGAAGGGGTGGCCCCCAGTGTGAAGGCCTCCCAGCCTCCAGTTAGAACTCTACTAAATACAGTCCTAAGATGATTCCCTGCATCTGCATTCTGAGGGTCCCTGGCTCTGAGAGGCTTTAAAGTTCCCCCAGAAGCTTTCCAAGGCAGCTCTGGTTCTCCAGATAGTGTACAAGCAGTGAAAACACAGTAGCTGCTTGCGTTAGGAAGGGCCACCATGCCTATCCTAAAAGCAAGCCTGTGAGATCAATGTTTTCATTAACGAAGATACCAGAGCTCACACAGGTTAGGTAGCTTGTCAAATGTTGCACAGCTAGCTCGTTGTGTGTGAAAGCTGGGTGTGTAGGGTCATGCTTTCTGTACTCCACAAGCCCTGTTCTTTCAAAAGCATTTATTAAGTGCCCACTCTGTGATGGGCAGTGCTCCAGGTGCTGGGTGGCCAGCAGTCAGCACAACCATCCAAACCCTGCCTAGGCTTAGCTTCCAGTGGAACCTACTCCAAAAGGTGACAAGTGACCAGGAGGAAGATGAGCAGAGAAGCGAGCTGAGAGAGCTGGCCGTATCCTTTCCTGGCTAAGCCCACCTCCCCAACTCCTCCCTCAGGAAACACCACCCTGCTCTTAAGAGAGCGGGTGCCCTTTAACCACCTTTCAAAAAGGTGCTGCTCTTTTCGCTGGGGGGATATGGTAGAGATCCGCATTCAGACTCCTTCGCAGAGGATGAAGTCCAAATCTGCTGGGTTTACGAAAATGTACCACGAATATTATTACCAAAGCAGATACTGTCCCAACTTACTAGGAGAGCATATTCCTCCTGTTCACGCCCCTGTGACCAGTGGCCCCAGAAAGCCATTGTGGGGTCGCACATAGGAGAACCTCAGTCCACTCCGTGTGTGCTCAAAAGCTCAACCATGTAGGCTAAGAATGTCTCTTTGTCTGAGGTATAACCACTTTCACCCCTCGATAGATTCCCTAATGAAATTAGGAATTCCTAATTGCTAAATTGCTAAATTTTTCTCTGGCTAAAAAATCCCTGAGGAAGGCAAGTTAGGGGGCAGGAAAATGAGATCCAATTTACTTCTTCACACCTAGGGGGACTTGTGATGTGGCGGGGGGTTCTTTTGTCATTTCAAACCCCATTCTTTCTACACACCCTGCTGAGCCTGCCTTCATAAATCCTTTCGGATGCCGTGCGGCTGCCTGATTTAAGAGCAGTCAATAATAAGGGCTCCATGCCACTTGGAAAGGCATGAGAGAAGGGGAAAGGTGGTGGAGAAAGTCAACATCCACTTCTGAGGGTTCTCTAGGCGTGGGTTCTCAGAGAGACAATCGCCATCCCACCCTTCTCACACCAAGATGCAAAGTCCGAGGGCAGAGTCCAGGGCAGCTGCCAACATCCCGCAATGTGCAGGATGGCACCCTATACGCAGCCCTTCCACAGCTCAAAAGAGGGATAAAAAGAAAGGGGACAAATTTGTCCACTATAACCCACAGTTTTGAAAAAAATCCAATTAGGGAAAAAGTGGAGTCCATCTGAATTTGTTTAATGTTTAAGTAATTATTCACATCCCAAATTATCCCTGCTGCCTGGTTGCCATGGGAAATAAGTGATAAATTTCTTGACAAAGCATCAAGGTCCTTTCTAGAAAGACTTGGGAGGGAGGGGTGGGAGTCCCTTGGGGCTCCTCCTGGCCACTTGCAGAGGGGACACAGTCTGTTTCTTTCTCTGCTCCCCACAAACCCAGCCTCTGTGTTCCACTCCCATGGGACAGGACAAACTGCAGTCCTTCCAGAAGGTGGAGAGAGGAAGATGCCAAAGGATAATTTCTGGCCAGCCACTGAGCAGGGTAAAGAGAGACAGACCACCCCTCAGGGTGAGGGAATGCATCAGAGCTGAACAGAGTGCCAGGGCCCTAACCAAGCTGCCTATTTCATTATGAGGTCCCTGTTCCAAGGAGGAAACAAGATGGCGGCCCATCATGGGGCAAAGGCCAGGAAGACATGGAGGCAGGCAAGAGGGAATCTGCAGCTCAGAATTGGGACAGAGCCACATCTCTGGGCACATGGAGGACAAGGTTGGGGAATGGAGATTGAAAGGGACGGTCACTGCAGCCAGGCTGAGACAGGCAGGGACAGAGAGGGAGGAGACATGTTGCAGAAAGTATCAAAAGAAAAAAATAAAAAGTAGTGGGAAAGAAGCATGTGTGGGTGGAATCAGGGACTTGGGGGCTCTAGGCTGTGAAATAGAAGCAAGAACAGGAGCCAGCAACGTGGGGTCCATCTGCACTGTGAAGACGCAGAAGAGAGATCGGGTGGGTTGCTGTGACTTTAATGGCAGCAATAAGCCTGTGGCTTTCCGGCCTGCAGTGTCACTCAGTCATACAAAGAGATGACGTATTTTTCCTCCTTGATGGCCAAATTGACTCCATCTTCCAGTCTAATCGATCTGGGCTCTAAGTGGAAAATAAGAACGTGTCCCCTCACTGCCATCTTCCTCTGTGCTCTGAGACCTATCTGATGATTTTCTCTGAATTTTTTCAAGTGTGTGAGATATGTTCACAGATACCACCTCAGTCCCTCAGCCTGCCGATCAGGGGGCCTGGGTTTTATGTGTCAGCCACAGCATGACAAGAGGCGGCCTCTGGAGGTGACAAGCTGGAAGGGGAGAAGAGAGTGGAAAGAGAAGGAATAGTCCCCCCAGGTTCTGGATCTGTGGTGATGTTCAGGACGGCCCTGGATGGACCCTATGTGTCTCTTTTCTCCTCACTCTGATGGGCATCTGTGACCTGCACCAAAACACAATAGGCATGTACTGATTAGGGTCACATATGGGACCCTGGGCAGCCCCCAGCCCAAGACCAAGGAAAGAGGAAAGGCATGCGCCTCCTCGGTGCCCAGGTGTGTGTGGAGACCTCCAGGTCCTCAGGCTGCACAACTCCAGGGTCAGAGCTCCAGGTGCTCAGAATGTCCTGCCAGGGCCTCAGCAGGATTACTGGGCTGGGCCTGACTACTCCATAAACTTGGAAAGGAAGATTCAATCAACTATCAGCAAGAATGCCCTCCCTTACCCACAGAAAGACAGCATTACATCCCATTGCCAAGAGCGAGCTGCTACCTGCAAAGGGCTTTGTTCAAGGCACTCAGGTCCACACCAAGCCACAGGACACTCAGATTCATTTACCCTGGAGTTGAGATGAGGCCAGCCCTATAGCCTTGTCCTTGCCCAGGCCCAAACTCTATGAGTAAATCCTTCAGACCCCTCTCCAACACAGGATCTGAATTTCTAGGGATGCCAAAGAAGTAAAGAACACGTATTCTTCAAGAGCAGTGCTGCCTGACGCGGTGGCAGCACCTGTCATCCCAGCACTCAGGAGGCTAAAGCAAGAGGATTAGTTATGGCCAGGAGTTCAAGGTCAGCCTGGACAACATACTGAGATCCTGTCTCCAAAATAAAGAAACCGAGAGCAATGTTGAGTGGCAGGTTAGAGCAAGTCCTCAGAAAGTTAGGTCACCTCCCAAAGGCTCTAAATGTCACTATGTCTGAGTGCATGTGACATTCCAGACCTCTCTGTTTTCCAGGCCAGCTAAACAAAGATGTGACCTATGCACAGGTGTTCTCCTTCCTGAGCTGCCTGCAGGTGAGCCTGACTTGCTCTAAGGTTACGTCACACCTGTGGCCAGGCACACACCGGCACACACATGCACGCGCACACACCTGCTTCCCAACGCTGTTCTTTTATGGCCACAATATGTTTTCCCGCCCTTAGATCAACCCCTGCCATGGCTGGATGTCCTCCAACAAGACACTCCGGACTCTTACCTCTGAGGTAGGACTGTCCCCAGCCCCTGGACCACATCTTTGATCACTCTTCCTGCATCTGTTGCAGGTTTCACTGGGGACAGGTTTCTGGTGACATGGTTGGTGGTCTGCAAGATGGTAAATAGCAAAAATCAAGCCAGGGTGCTCAAGGAGCTTAGAGAATTTGGGGCACCTTGCCTCCTGCTGCTTCTCTCTGTGTCTGTCTCTCCTATTTGTCTCTGTCTGTCTCTCCCATGCATGCACACACATATGCACATGCATGCACATGTACACATGCATATGCACACACACTGTGCAGTTTGTAGAAGTGCAGAGAGCTGAGCTGAGCCTGTTCAGCCCTGTGTGCAACTGGGTTCCCTAAGGTCAATGAGGATCTCCTCATGCCTCAAAGGAAAGCCATTGTTCAAGCAAAGTGCTTGGCACTTCCTTTACAGATCGTGAATAATCTGTTTGCAAAGGATTTATTGAATTTTTTTTTGAGACAGCTCTCACCATGCAGTTCAGGCTGGTTTTGAGCTCACTTTGTAGCTCAGGCTGGTCTCGAACTAGCAATGATCCTCCTGCCTCAACCTCCCCAGTGCTGGGATTACAGGTGTGCACCACCATGCCCATCTTGAATTTTTTAAATATGCCATTTAAAAACATAGAGAACATAAAAATAACAAAAATCCACCTAAAACATTACATGTTTATGTACTTCTAATATCCTCCGTGCAGACAGGTAGGTTGGGTTCCTCCCTTCTTAGCACAAGAATACACATCCATGTCCTCTTCTACGCATCTCAACTTTGACAAATCTCCACATCATAATAGCACAACCCTTTTAAGGGATACAGCCTATAAATGCATGATGATTTATTTCAACCCTTGGTGTTAGACATACTGGTTGTTTTCAGTCCTTCACTATGATAAATAGCACTGGGATGAACTATCACGCATGTAAAGATGGATGCTTCTGTGTACATCTCTATCTCCTTAGGGCAAGTTCCTATAAGCACTTATGGGGTAAAAGCACAGGGCCAGGTTTAAGGATTTGATCCATGCTGCCAAACTGCTCTCTGAAAAGGTAAAAACAATCAACATTCTCACCTACTCCTGCCAACATGCGATGTCAGCAAGGCTATTCACGTCTTCTTTACCGATTCCACGGGGAAGTAACATCTGATTACAGAAATTTGCCCTGATCTGATTCCTAATGAAAGTTAACATTTTTCCTGTGTTCATTGGTCATTGGTATGCGTGTGGATCAGAACGTGTGGAGCTGGTCTCCGCTCACAGTTTGGAGGGAGGAAGGGGGAGTAGGGAGGGGAAGGCGGATTTCTTGTTCCGCCTGAATTGTCTCATGAAAGTCAAAGTCTAGGTGTCACAGAATTCTCTACTTCCCTCCTCTGCAGAGAGCACAACAACTCTCCAGTACCCTGAAAAAAATTTCAACCAGAGAGAAGTTTACAAACTTCGACCTTCTCTACATGGATTTTGCCTTTAAAGAAGGTAAGTCACTTGTTTTAGGCATTGACAGGGACAGGCACAGAAGCCACCATGCAGAACAGGTGGGGCCGTGCAGCAAGCAGTAGGCTGGGCAGGGTTCTCGTGCCCATCCCAACACCAGTACTAAGAAAAGACCAAGGTAAAGCGTGAGCACAGTCTGAGGAGCTTGGCACACGGCGTCACCTCCCTATTTCTCCATCATCGTAGAGCCTCTCAAGCCAGGAACTAGTTGGAAAGACCATTTGGCTGTCAGACTTCAGGCCAGTAGAGTCTCCCACCTTGTATTTTAAGTACATACTTGCAGTGCTTACATAGTGACTACATTCCTCGTGGGGAGTCCACACAAGAATTAAGTAACATATCTTAATTCTTCTTACTTCCTTTTCCCCTCTCTTCCCTGGTCCCTCCCTCCATCTCTTGGTCCCCTTGTCACATGCAAAAGATCTATGTCTCTGTTTTCTACTATCTACTTTTATTTTATTTTACTCGTTTTGTATATTTTTGGTTGCTTACATAAAAGAAACCATGCAATATTTAAGTTTATGTGTCTGGCATTTCACTTAACATGGTCTCCAGATACACCAATTTTCCCGCAAATGACTCGAGTCTGTCCGTCTTTATGGGAGAGGTAGTACTCCATTGTGTGTAGATACCACCTTTTCTTTATCCATTCGTCTGTTTGTGGAGATACAGGCTGCTTCCAAGAATTAGCTATTATGAGTTGCATAAACATCAGTATGTATGTGTCACTGTAACGTGATGTCTTTAACTCTTTCAGGAAGATGCCAGAAGAGGAATCTGGGTCAAATGCAATTTCTAGGTTTAGTGTTTTGAGCAATCTCCATACAGATTTCCATAGTGGTTGTACTACTTTGCATTCCCACCAACAAAGTAGACGGGTTCCTTTTCCTCGGCAGCCTCATCAGCATGTGTTATTATTTGATTTCTTGATAACAGTCGTTCTGTCTGTGTTAAGGTGGAACTTCAGTGTTGTTTTAATTTGTGTTTCTCTATGGCCAGAGATGTTGAACATTTTTTTCGTGTACTTATTGGCCATTTGTAATTCTTCTGAGAAATATCTGCTCATTTTAGTTGCCCACTTTTTGTTTGACTCTTAATTGTGGGAGGGGATCTAATTGTTTTTAGTTCTTTATACAGTCTAGAGATTAGTGTTCTGTCCAAGGAGTAGCTGGCAAAATTTTTTCCCATTCCACATGTTGTCTCTTCATTCTGTTGGTTGTTTCCTTTGCTACGCAGAAGCTTTTTAATTTGATACGACCCCATTTATTGATTCTTGATGATATTTCTTGTGGAGTTGGGGCTCTGTTTAGAAAATATTTCCCTATGCCTATGTCTTCAAGAGGTGTACCCATTTTATCTGCCCAAAGATTCAATATTTCTGTTTTAATATCTATATCTTTCATCCACTTTTATTTTAGTTGAGTGCATAGTGAAGATATGGGTTTGGACTCAATCTTCTGCATGTAGATACTCACTTTTCCCAGAGTCATTTGTTAAAGAGGCTATCTTTTTCCTCCAGTGTATGTTTTTGGTCCCTTTTTCAAAGATCAGATGGCTGAAGGTACCTGGGGACCTAAAGTCTTCTTGTTGGTTAGCTTACCTGTGGGCTAAATCTGGATGTGACAGAAATGAGGGCCATGGCATAGTGAAACACTAGATGACCTAGGGACTCAGCAGCAATGCGATTCTCAGAGGCCACACAAGAGGAACTTGAACCGGAACCTGATCACCATCTCTAAGAGAGGCACCAAAGAATTGGTCCAGGGTGAAATAAACAATGCATGACCCAACTCTCTGGGAATAGATTTCTTTTTTGGCATTCTGTCCAAATACTCCAGTGACTAACAAGTGGCCACACAAAAACCAGCATGGTGACCAAAGCTACTGATTTATCTTTTATGTCCTGACTCTGCAAAGTATTATTTATTGATTGTAGTCCGTCCAGATTTATTTTCACTGCTAAGCAATTCTTCTACCAGAGAAAAGCCTCCCATTGATTGACTGCCAGCTGAGATAATGCTAATGAAAAGCTTTATGGTGTGTACAGAGGATGGAAGATGTCTCATCCAGAGTTTATCATGTCTGTCCCCCACCCTCAGCCCCCGGCCCCAGCATCTGGGATGGAGCAGGTGGTAACTATGAACTATCAAATACCACGTTGGCTGACACTCTGTGCATTGCAGACTCCAGCACTTCAATCCTAACATATTTTCAGCGAGACTCCTCTCCCTTAACTAGATTTCTTGCCTACGTGATGCACATTTCTCTCATGGGGAGTGACACTTTGATAAATAACCTCTCATTGAAATGCAAAGCTGAAGACTGACTAATGAAATCCTGATGTAAACAAATGCACCACCAAGTGGTCTTTGATCATCAGCAACCTTGAATATACATAAAGTTGTTTAAAATATGATAATGCCTAACATTCGTATGGGACTCTATCTCCCAGAGTGACACCCATACCTGTCATTTATGATGTCTGGGACTGCAGCAGCCCTCTGACAATCTCTGGCATCCCCTTTCTACACTTGGCTTCCTCCCAGACCAGAGGATGCCAGGGGGTCCAGGTGGGTTGCAGCTTGCTATGTATCATGAGCACAGGTGGCCTCACCTTGTGGCTTCTCATCCCAAATCTGCCCCCTCCCAACAGGCTCTGTCTAAGGTCTGGATGGGGCTCCTTACCCACTCCCCTGGTCTCATCAACATCGCTTAGGAATTTCTCCACATCTACCCTAGGCAGCTCTGCTTCCTGTAATTAAGCACTATAAGCTGCATGGCTTCTAAACAACAGAGCTTGATTTCTTACCAGTGTAGAAGTTGGAAGTCTAGGATTGGGATGCCCACATGCTTGGTGGTCAAGAGGCAAACTGCCAACTTCATGCATTCCCATGTAGCAGAAAGAGCAAGACAAGCTCCTTGGGGTCCTTTATTTTTCTTCAGTTCTTATTTTTTATCAGTACATGTTTTACAGTACATAATGATTACACTCTTCTTGAGGGGTTAGTATATGTGCATAACACATCTTAATTCCTTTTCCTTCCCCTTCCTCTCCCTCCATCTTCTGATCCTCTTCCTATTCACAGAAGTCAGGTTTCCTTTGCACAATCAAAGCCCCCACAACATCTCCATCTTCTCTGGGCGAGATGGCTAGGAGAGGATCGCACTGCTTGTGTTTTGGGGGGTGGGGCATGGAAAGGACTGAAAGTCTCTCAACTGTGTTTTCTATGCTCTCCGAACACCAGGACAGCAGGACAGGAGCCAGGAAGGAACAGATATCTCTTCCTTCCGCCCTCTGGCTGTGGCATTTCCCTGAGCGGTCCTCGCTGGCATGGATACTGCACCATGGAGTTCACTGCATCATTGCCTTGGTGCAATTGGCATGTGTTGTCCCTGTCAGAGGACAATTTTATTGCTTTGTGTCCCATTGGGATTCATAATATTTCCCCTGCAGCCAAGCTGTTAGTGCAATGTTGGGATGATTTTATGCAATTGTATTGTGACCTGCTACCCAATGGCTCAAGGTGATCATCTGACACAGGTGAGCGGTGTCTGCATGTATCAGTTCAGGAGAAATGCTAACAAAATGCTAAGATTTAACCTCCTGCAACACTGTACTATCAGGCCACGGAAAAACGAGAGGAACTGAAATCACCATTAGAACTCCATTTTTCCCTCTCCTCTTCCTGTTACAGAGACCACATTCACCCAGTGCTGTCATGATTCTCTTCCTGAGTTAGAAAAGTTAAATAGAGACAGCTGTGGTGGCACTCACCTGTAATCTCAGCACTTGAGAGGTTGAGGCAGGAGGACCATGAGTTCAAGGCCAGCCCGAACTACATAGTAAAACCTTGTCTCACAACAAACAAACAAAAAGAAAATGAAAACACATCATATCAGAGGAAGGTGATTTTTGTCTGGAAAGATCCTAGCCCTAGACAACAGCTCAGAGGCAGCCATGGCTGATTCCAGGGGTCTAGGGCACAAGGGCAACGCTGGTGACACCTCCCATGGTCCTTGCGTGGGGATGGGCTGTGGCTGTGCACGTGCTTGTGTAACACCCCCTTTCTGTGTGTTTTGCAGTCACAGAGGAGTGGCAGAGAAGAGGTGGGCAGCCATGGCAGCTCATTGAGCCTGTGGATGGATTCCACCCCAACGAGGTGAGTGCATCACAGAGGCTGCCGGTGGTCACCTGTGTGGTTATTTTTTTTAAACACATTTGTGTGTGCTTGATTTTATCCTATTTTTCTCCAGAGAAAAATGGAGGCAATGTACCTACATAAAGACAGAAAATCCAATAAAAATGAAGTGGAAATTGTCAGGGGAGGGAAAGGAGGTAGAAATTACACCTAGATTCTTGACTTCATTTCGGGAGTTTGGAGACTATGTGAAGCAGTTCAGAGAAACAGGATGCATGCACAACCCACTCTGGGCTTGCTGGCTGCTGGCGCAAAAATGTGTTTTGGTTCCAAAGGGGCCAGGTGTCTCTTGGACTATGGGGTGGACCTGGCATGGGGGCATTGGGTTGGAAAAATAGGACCCCGCCCAGAAAACCACTCCTCATGGGTGACAATGTAGTTAGGCCAAGAAGCATGTCTTAATATGAGCATTGTCATCCCAAGGGAGGAGAAATTCTGAAAGTTATATAGTAGCTGTTGACAAAGACCCAACTCACTCTAACCTCCACTCCCTTCCCCATCCTGGGGAGGTCAAAGGCTGCAAGTAAAACCTGAAAAAGCCCACAAAAGCTTAGATAAACAATGGCCTGTTACATCATCCTGCTTTGGTGTCCCTTCTATGGGAATGTCAAGGAGAAGCAAGATGTTGGCAGTAGACAGTGGCTTTGGCACCAGGAAGGCTTCTGGCCAGCAGCGGATGGGTGTGGTGAGGATGGCCCACTGTGACGCTATGTCCTATCTGATGTGATATTGCCTAGAGGAAGCACCACAGCAGCTAGAAGTGGCAGCCATCTGGCCCCTGTGTGCCCAGCCAAGGCCCTGCAATAGCACGGAGCCCATCAAGCTAGGGTCTTTATTGCCCAGGTACTTTATGCAAACTCCAGGGAGAGGTGCCTGTGGCCTGCAGAATCTTTGAGTCTTTCTTCTTTTCTCAAATCTCTTCGGCCAAAATGGGCCCATCTGCTGAGCTAGCACAGTAAATCCAATAAAAACCGCCAATGTTGGCACCTTAAAACTCAGACATCATCCCTATAAGTCCATAACAAGGCTTGGAAGTGGTGGTGCTCAAACTATAGCACTGTCTTGGTTACTTTTCTCTAGTTGCTGAGACAAAAATACCTGGCACTCAAAAGTAAGGAAGAAAAGGTTTATTTAGCTCACAGTTTGTGGAGGTTTCAGTCCATACTTGGTTGACTCCAAGGCAGAGTGGCACATGGCAGAGAGCAACAGTTCATGGTGGCTGAAGACAGGAAAGCAACAAGAGCAAAAGGGAGGAGTGGCAGCAAGCACCCTCTGTCTCTCCCTTACATATGCAAATTATCTGCCCCAGGGCGGGTGTAGCACTTACACCCATAATCCCAGCATTTGGATCATGGATCAGTCATAAACTCTAAAAGCCCACCTCATGACTTCATGAGGCTTTGGGGGGACATCAAGGCACAAACCATAACAAGCACACATCAGAATTGTTGGGGTGGGGGTGGGAACTAGCTCCTCCTTCAGAATCTACCCAATGTGTTGGCAAAGGAACCCTGCAGTAAACGTGCTCAGTGAGGCAGAAGCACCCTGCCAACCCCATCCTACAGGCTTGTCCTTAACACCAAATGGATAAAGCCTCAGCAGATTAAAAGGAGAGTGGTAATGCCGTGTGGGTGTTGGGGTGTGAAGGATGATGGTGATTCCGTCATTATCCCAGTGAAAAGACAAAGCAGACATTGAAAAGTTTGCTCTGGAAGGAAAAGAGAAATAAAAACAACTTGCAAAACTTTTAAGCTAATTATATTTTTAAAAGATAAAACAATCTAAAGGATCAGGCAGGGAGGACAGGAAGGCAAGTTCTCGTCACACAGGTTTCATTCAAGAAATCCAACTCCAGTGCATCCTGGAGGCAGGGTGACTCCGTCCATCTCAGATTCCCAACAGTGGCCAGAGGCCAAGAGGAGGGTGGCCGGCACACTCCCCAAGCGTCAGGCAGTTCGATAAAATATCACACTGTATGGCAAGAAGGTGACAGGGTGAACCCAGAAGCCACTCTGGCCTTCCTGCTTGGTGAAATGTTTACATGACACTGCAAAGATGGTCTTTTTTTAACTATCAAGAAAGAAGCATGGGAGGGCCCCAACACTGTGACTTGGAAGACCCCAAGTCACCGCGACACCCTTCCCCAGTGGTCTGCAGGACTCCACCTCGTCCCACACCTGCATCCAGGAAGGTGAGCAAGGGAGGCGAACCAGGCAGCTTGGAGCCCTTCTGCACTGCGAAGCTGAGAGCCCTGTCCACTGTCCTCAGGACAAAGGCCGGGGAGATGTGCGGCACACATTCCCAACGGTGACAGAAGTTAGTTTGCCTCCATCTGATGGAACAGCATGAGTGTAAGAGAAGCAATAGATATCTACCTCCACAGTAACACAGATCAACACAGGAACATGGTGGAAATAGAGACTAGAATAAAACAAAGCAGAGTCAGGATTGTGGGGTGATTAGACTATTGTGTGCCTCTTCCGACACTCATGGAACTGTTCAGGAGAAAGAGTTATTATTACTGGTACCTAGTGCCCTAAAAAGAGCAGACTATAAAATGACATTCACCGAGGATCCACATTGTGTGTTTGTGGTGTGTGTGCCTGTGTGTCTAGAAAATCTACATCCAATATTAGAAGAGGCTACCTCTATTCTAATTACAGATACTTCTAAATCTATTTGCCTCCCTTTGCTTAATTTTCTGCTTCGATGTTCCCCAAATGAGCAGGTACTGCTTTCATATGTTAAAGGAATCTGTGTTCAAGAAACACTGTGGTGTAAAGGAGCTGTGCCTTACCCCATGTGGTGTCCCACAGGAATGGCGACAAGAGACCAGTCATACGAGCAGTCCCCAGTAGGTGCCCAGGAAATATGAGTCCGGCAAATGAATGAATGAATGAATAAATGAATGAGTGTTGTGGATCACTGGATCCTAAGTCGCCAGTCTAGTGGCAACCTTGCCACTCTCATATTAGACCAGTATTTTAGCAGGGCCCGCTCATAAATATTTTCATCTCGGTTAGAGTGACAGCCAACTAATTGCTTTCAAAGCAGTTACCATGTGCTCGTTCATTTTCTTTTCCTCCCCTGACCCTCACCCCTTTCTCATTACCATAGATAGGGAAATAAATGCCCACAGATGCCTTGGGAACTGCGTAATTACTGGGAAGACAGCTTAGGTTTATCGACTTGAATGCAGAGAAAAAGAGCCGGTAATTTTCCACAGACCCATTGGCAGCCTCCTTTGTTGAGAAACATCAGGAAAAACAGCCCTAAGACCAGGCCTCTGTCTACGAAGACACTGATGGCTCCCTGTGGCAGGTGAACTGGCCCTTCCTGGGAAGGCGGCCAGCGTGACAGGCAGCCACAGAAGACTTGCTCCCCCTCTGAAGTACTGTCCAAAGAAATGCGTGTGTGTCTATGGTCTATGGGTGTGTGTGTGTGTGTGTGTGTGTATGTGTGTGTGTGTGTGCAGGGATGGAGGCATCAGACACTGTGTGAATGTGACCAGGATCACATGCTGGGTTGGATGGCGTTTCAGAGCCTCAGAAAGCTCAGGAACACATCAAACCACTGGGGGTACTTTCATTCAGTGAATCAATCACTTCTCATTTTTTTCTAACAATTACTGTAATGTTAAGCCCAATATAGACCCAGAAAGGACTTTGGATCATTGCTCCCAGCCCATTCACTACGCAAATGAGAGAGCTGGAACCAAAGAAGTATGAGAGGGCCATGGACATCAGACAGCACCGCTGACCAGAATGGGGCACTGTGAGGACAGGGGACAGGGTCCTTGTGCTTCGGAATAAAGTCAGGGCCACCTGTTCCAAACAACGCATCCCCCTCTGAGGCCTTCGGCAACCTCATTTCTCTTATGATTCAGCATTAAAAACCATTGCTGAGATGTAGCTGTGGGGGGTCCCGAAGGCCAGGCCAGGCCTTTGCAGAATGAGGAGAGGAGCCTTCTCACCACAGTGTGTTGTGAGGACCAGAGGATCAGGCAACCAAGACTGGGTCCCATTGACATCGTGGATGACACCACCCTCATCAGGGACCACCCATCCCGCCTCATCCCCCACCTCCTCCTTGAAAGTTCAGCTCAGTGTCACCTGCTGCCCTACACCCAGCAGAGTTGGCACCCCCTCTTGCAATCACAGCCACCCGTGGGCTTTGGTGGCCTCGTTGGGCAAGGCTGCAAGTTCCTTGAGAGAGCTCATCACATTCTCTCCAAACACTTCAGCTGCAGCCAAGGGCAGCTGACCATAGATAAGGCAGAAGAGGATTCCTAAGAAAGTGTATGTGTCATTTATTCTCAAGCAACAATTTATTGCAAATTTAGCAACTGAAAATAATGCACATTGATTCTTCTGCAGTTTCAGAGCTTAATTAAATCTCACAAAACCAAACTCAAGGTGGTTTATCCATGTTATGTCCTCTTCCGGAGCCTCAGTTGGGGGAGAACTGAGTTTAGATTCACTTGAGTGGTTGATATATTCATTCCCTTGAGGCTGTAGGACAGGCCCCAGCTTGTTGCTGAATGTCAGTGGGAAGTCACCGTCAGCAGTGACAGGGTGCTTCCCATCAGCCCAGCAAGAAGTCTCCAGAGCAAGTCCGCTGGCAAGACTATGTCCCCCAAAACATGGCAGAAACAAAGAAGTGACATCGTCCCCCACCACCTCTGTTGGTCAGGACAGAACAACAGTCCCCCCCCCCACGAATGCCAAGGGGAGGAAATCACACAGAGAAAGACATGAAGCAGGGATTGAAGAGATGGTGCTAGAGTCTGCCTGTTGAAGAAAGCATTGCAGGGCAAGTCTTCACTCCTGGTAATCTCCCTTTTCCTTCCCTTCATTCTGTCTCTCATAGGTGGCTTTGTCACTGTCAGCAGAAATTTTTTGGAAGAAAGCAGAGCTCCAGTGGCCCCAGATCCTGGGAAAGGAGAATCCATTCAATTCCCAGATTGAGCAGGTGTTTGGTGACCAAGGAGGTCACTGAGCAGCTCCCCTGGGCAGCACAAACCTGGGTAAATGTACTCACCAGCCCTCCCTGGAGGCTGTCATCAGGCCCCATGGGATTTTCTTCCTACATCTTTGTAAAGCACTCCCCTCTCTGTACAGAGCACAGCTGAATGGCAGTGTGATGCTTTATGCTTCCATGATCCATTTCCTGCCAGCTGCCCCTGGAATAACCTTTAATAAGGGACTTTGGCGACCATGCCAGGACAGGGTATTTTTATGCCCTCAACAGTTAATTGTTCTTAAAGGAGCTTCTAAAAACACAGACACACCTCTGCAGGACTCTGCCATTTACACAGGATCCTAGTGTACCCCGTGAGGGTGACTTCGAGATAGCCAGGCAAACTGGAGCTCTGCCTAGGAGTACTGCCGACGACGCTCACAAGCAGGGACAGCCCAGGTTCTGGGCTTCTACTCTCAAAACAGAACACAAAACCATAAATACAAAATTAGGTACAAACTCATATAGTTATTTACAAGGAGAAAACAAATCATAACTAATCACAAACCTTTAAAAGCCGGCAAGTACCATAAGCCTGCAAAGTCCATAGAAATAATCATTTTTTTCTTTCAAAGTTATTCTTACATTCTTTACCTGTGTAATCTGATTGCCTCTTCCTTACAACAATGATTTTGTGGTATCTTTGCCTATAGAAAGAATTAAAAAATAAAATTTGTTGCTTCTTGTTGATAGTTTAAATTTTTCTTTCAGCTACACAAATCATGATTGGTGAAGTTATATTATTCAGTATTGTTGTCACAATGGGTAGACCTCTGCCAAATATCCTTGGCTATTGTTTTGATTTGGTTTTTTTGCTTTTATTTTTTGAGACAAAGCCGCACTATGTATCCTAGGCTCACCTCAAACTCTCAATCCTCCTGTCTCAGCCTCCCAAGTGCTGGAATTACAGGTGTTCCCTAACATATCCAGCATCAAATTTCCTTTGGAAGCAAGCTGCTAGAAACCCACTGTCTTTCATAGTTGAGTCAGTCCTCCATATCACCAGTTTGCACCTGTGAATTTAAACAACTGTAATTTAAAAATATTTGCAAAAAATCTCACTCATACTGAACACATATAAGTGTATCTGTCATTATTTCCTAAACAATGCAGTATAACCACTATTTGCATGGCATTTACATTATATAAGAATACTTTGTATCTTTGGGGTCTTAAAAAGGTGCATGTGTTAAAGGCCTAGTCTTCTGCTTCATGCTGGTGGGAGGTGGTGAGAACTTCAAGGGACCTGGTGAGAGGTTTGAGGTCACTGGGCTGTGCCCTTGATGGGAACTGTGGGTGTCCAGCTCCTTTTTTCTCTTTTTTGCACCCAGCCATGAGGTAAATGAACCTCTTCCACCACATGCACCCACCAGGCCACAGCAATGGGGCCAGTTGCCTATGGATTGGAATCATCAAAATAAACCTTTCTTCTATTTAAGTTGATTAGCTTGGGTATTTCCTACAGTAATAGAAAACTGACCAATACAATAAATAATCTAGAGATGACTTAAAGTATACAGGAGAATGTTGGTTATATACATTTTATACAACGGACTTGAGCACCTTGGTTTGGAAACATCCCTATAGATACCAAGGATCAACTGTACTGGTGCAGGTTTCTATCTGTATAAGAACAGGAATTCTGATCAATTCTGTTGGACACCATCCTTATCTATGTGCTTCCCTACTTACTTGCTTCTGAAAGCAGCCACAGATTCAATGTTCACTCTGTGTACATCCAGGCCCACCAGCAGGCGTGCCTTTATGTATTCTACCTTGGGCAGCCAGCTTGGCATAGCCCAGAGGTGTGGGGTTGTTTACCCTCTGGGGGGAGCCCGGGACCAGCAAATGGAGGCACTACCTCCTCCATTAGTGGTCAGTTTGGGGAGCACTCTGTGAGTCTCTCAGGAACCCCACAGGTTCAGCCCTCTCTGCTCACTTCCCTCATCTCAGTGCCCTGAGTCCTGCTTCCCAGAATTGCTTCCCAAATAAACACCACACCCAAATCTGCCTCAATAAAGACAATGTTAAAGTGCAATGTGCATATGAATGTACAGTTGTTCCTTAGGATCTGCAGGGATTTGGTTCTAGGACAAACTGTAGATACCACAATCTTCAGGTGCTCAAATCTCTTGTACAAAATGGTGTAATCTTTGCAAACAACCTGTGCACATCCTCCCATAACTTTAAATCACCTCTGGGTGACTTATAATACCAAATACAGTGTAAATGCTATGTCAGTGGTTTATACTATATTATTTAGGGAACAATGGCAAGAAAAAGGTCTGAGCATGTTCAGTACAGAACCAAGAGTCATAGGCCTAACTGCTTAGTAGGTTGAATCTGCAGGTATGAAATTCATGGGTACCAAGGGCCAACACCAATACTTTATCCTCAAATACACTCTGGGTAGCAAAATATCTGGCACCAGTGCAAACCACATCTCCTGCTCACAGTTCACAGCTGATAACTGGACACCACTGCCTCTGCCCAGTTTCAGGCTCTGGATATCTCAGTTCTGGTTCTTCCTCCATGACCCACATACTTTCACACTGAGATCTGACCACAAGCCCTACACCTTTATTACAATGCTGGTGGACAAGAGCTAATGATGACCTAACTGGGTACAGAAATGACCGTAAACCACATAAATATCAACCAAAACTGCCATACTTTGGATCTTACACATCCCCCAAATGCCCGTGTGTTATAGCCTGGATCCCAGCCTGTGGCATTATGGGCAGCTGGTAGACCTTTAAAAGGTGGGGCCCAATGGGAGGAAGTGAAGTCATTGGGGATGTCTTTGAAGGGGATATTCGGACCCTTCTCCTGCCTCTCTTCTTTTACTTCTCAGCTGCCATAAGATGAGCAGGCTTCCTCTGTCTCACAGTCTTAGGCCCAAAACCATAATTCCAAGCACATGTTGGGCATGTGTGCACACCTGGAATCAATCCCACATGCTTGGGAGTATGAGTCAGGAAGACTGCAAGTTCAAACCCAGCCTGGACAACTTAGCATCTTAGGAAGACCCTGTCACAAAATTAAAGAAAGGGCTAGGGATATAGCTCAGTATGAAGACCCTATGTTCAATCCCCAGTCCCGCAGAAGAGGAAAAGGAGGGTTAAGAATGGAATGTCACTCAGGGGCAGAGTGCCCATAGGTTAAACCCAGCACTGAAAGATGAAATAGACTTACAGTGCATATGCCCACTTCTAACTATCTCAAAACATGTTTAATATTTTTATATTTGATTTGAATACTATGAATTTTCTTTGTGATCCTGTATTTTTTTTTTTTACATTTAAAAATGTTGTGCTAAGAAGAGGCCCTAGTCCTCTTCAGCCACCAAGGGGGTACATCACAAAGAAGTCCTTGTGCTCTGGAGGTCAGGACTTGGAGCAAGAAAACCCCACAATCTGAGTGTGAGCCACTGCTTCCTGAAAGGGACAGGTAGGAGAACCTGTGGTGGCGACATGGACTCAGTTCAGCCTTTTTGAGCATCCTGCCCCAAGCTTTCTCTGGGCATTGCCTCCTGGTACCCAGTAACTGCACATCCTGTGGAGGTACCAGGGTGCTGCTGGGGGAATGAATCTGCCTCAGTGCTCACTGGCTGTGTCAGGAGTGGAGTTTCCCAGACATCTCAAGACCAGAGTCCTACTCCTCATCTTCAGTTCAAGGCACAGTGCCTTTAGGATCCTCTTCCTTGAGACAATAGCTTTCCTGGGGAAACTCAACCTGACCAAGGCAGATTCTCTCCCCAGCCCTCAGATGTGGGGCACACGTTCACCACGCGCTCAGGCTGCTTGATGAACAGATGCAACAGTCTGCAGTTAACATGTCAGCTCCTCATTAAATCTGAATACAGAATCCATGTTTGCCCAGCGGGATGAACTCCCCTAATCTGATTTGGCAGAGGTTCTGGTATAAATATTCATGGAAGCTTGGGCTGTTTTAATCTGGTCCTTTGCGTGGAGTGTAAGAGGGTGGAGAGAGTTTGCTTTTAAAGCCTGTTTTCCAGGTCAATTCTTTAAGCCACAGTATCAAAAAAAATAATGGCCTCATGATCGTGAATCTGTCATTAAGGGAGATTAATCTTCCAAAGCTCTTGGATGGATTGAAATGAGAGGAGAGATAAAGAGCCCACATGGAGGCCTCTAAGGATTTCTTGTGGTACTGCATTGTTGGCTGGGTTCTTTGTTTTTAATTAATTATACCAAGAGTTTACAGGACCCCTTTCAACTGCAGGGCCTGAAAATGTGACTCCCAGTTCACAGGGCTCTGGTCAATTAGACTACGGCTAGGAGAACGGGCCAAGGACTTCCATGATCTGTCCAGCCCTAGGCTGCTGCAGACCCTGGGATAACATGCATGCTTCACCCAGCTCAGGATGGCCCCACTGTTAATATTTTCCCAGTGATTCCCACACTATGGCTCAGCAAATATGAGCCAAAGCCAAAATACAGACAGACCTTGTCAGGGATGCACAGGGATTTGAGCAATAGGTGAGACTTCAGCTTGTCTGGATTCGTGGAAAGAGCAAAACTGTGTCCTGCAACCTCCTAGAGCTTGAGCACAGCCAAAATGTGATGAGTAGGAAACTCAAGATGCCACCAGCTTTAAAAGGCTTAAATGCTTGGAGTCTCTGTTACATCCTTTGTAAATGGGAGCACCATTCCCTGCCCCTCAGCACTGCCGCAAGCATTAGCAAAAGCGAATCTTGGCAAAGTACTAAGAAATAAGAACAGGATGTGCATCATTTTCCCTAATGCTCAGAGTCATCCCCGGCTAGTCTGTATGGTCCTCCTCCTGTAGGACAGGAAATGGAGCTAGCACAGTGAAGTCACTTGCCCAAGACCACGTATTTCCTAAATGATGAATCAGGAGGTTGAAGCCAGCCTGGCTGGCTCCAGGCTATAGGTCCCAGCTGTTAAGCCCATCCTAGCTTCTTGAAGACTGCAAGGTCCCTTTGTTGCCACAACTGCTCTGAGAATGAAGCCAGTTCTCGGAAATCAGACACTGCCAGCATGCCAGAAAATGTCAATATCACTCTAAAGGGATGCACAGTTATCGTGAAGGGCTCCAGAAGAACCCTGCAGACGGCTTTAATCAAATCAGTGTGGAATCCAGCCTCTTTGGAAAGAAAAAGAAGAAGCTGCAGGTCAAAAATGCAAAAAGGAACCAGCTGCCATTCCCATAGACTGAGGCCAAGAGAAAGAGATGATCTATGTGCACCTCCTGGCATTGTTGTTATTGTAGGTGAGTAGATCCCTTGTTGAAATTTCTTGGGTAGAGAATTCTCCAGCAGCATTCAGCCAGGTGTTGCTTTTTGGTATCTCAACTCCAGAAGGATGAGTTAAACCTTGAAGGAAATGATACTGAATTTGTTTCACATTCTGCTGCTTTGATTCAGCACAAAAATTAAAAACAAGGATATGGGAAAGTCTGGGGCAGTATCTATGTCCCTGAGAGAAAATTAGTGCCTAGACTGAGGCGTGAGACCAGAGAGCTCATTTCTCCTCTCCCTCAGCTCCTTCACACCTCCACCTAGGTGCTGCTGAGTGCTTCTCGGGGGTCTATCTTCTCAGATTACATGATTCATCAAGGAAGTTTGCAAAAATAAAAAAGATCTACTCTGGAGAAATCTACTCCTTCAAGCAATAGAAATGGTTATGTCAACTATGATGCT